CTTTTCACTTTATTCTCTATGCCTCAGCTTCCTTACCTCTAAAATGGGGAACAATATGAATAACCACTTCACAGGACTGTGGAGAGTGTTAAATGCAGTATTTAGGTCAGTATCATGTATATAGTAGCTAATGGTAAGTATAGCATGGAAGATGAAATAAAATGCACAACAAATAATCTGCTAATTGGCTATCTTAACAGAGTGATCTTCTCTGCACACTTACCATGAGATGGCACTATGGAGATACACATCATCACAGTTTGCTTTTCTGCCATTCATTGCTGTTCCTTTAGGCTGAAAGCAAGTTGGAATGGTTTCTATGTTATTTTTTAAGTTTGGTACCTTTTAAATATTCAAGGACTTCACTGATAAGAATGTATTTTAAGGAAAATGAAATGTATATGAAGACTAGGGCACATTTTTCATAGTTTGAATGGCTTTTAAATGATTAGAAAACTGAGGCTAAAAGAAGAAATTGTGCTTTTATTTCTCTTAGTTTTCATAAGTTTAGAGCTCACCTTGCAAATACATTTTGGATGCTGAGACATATAGTAAGCAAGTTGGTTTAGAAATTCAATGACCTTCATGATTTAAATTATTCATGTCATTATGGGTAGCCACCTCTAGCATGACGTATTTTATCATAGTTAAAGCCTGTTTTTCGTTTGTGCTATACAGAGGGGTAGAATCTCTAATTGTTTCTTGTCCTCTCATTTTCTTTCTTTATAGTGAATTTTGTGTGGCTTCTCAAGTTACAGTTGTAAGAATGACGCTCAGTGTTTTCCAAAGAATAATTTAACGAGTTTCAAGCATTTGGTGGGAAAAAAGACAACATGGTTTAGTGGAATAAGACAAATCTGTGCTGAAATTCCATCTTGCACTTTCTATAAGCTCAGCAGAGTCTCATTCTATGTAGCCTGACTGATGGAGGAAGCTCCATCAAAGCTTGTTTCCTATTCTCTTCCCTCAAGTTTCTTGGGTAAAGGGAAGTAATGAGTTAAAGTGTTAAAGGCAACATAAATACCAAAATTTTTTGGATGTTTTTAGGATTAAGGTTGTGTGGCATCCTAAACTGAGATCTTTTGGTCATTCTCTAAGATCTGTTTAGGATTTCTTTTTGTTCAAGATCCAGCTTAGATTTTCTAATGGTACCATGCCTTGTTAGTCAGTGATAGCTAGGAGATCTGGTGACCACAGACATCTAGGGGCCTGTAAGCCACTCTGCCCAGGGATCTTTCATTCTGAATGTTGAGTCCTGACCTAGGTAATACTGAAGGCAATAAAAATCTCTTTGCAGAATCAGTATGAGGGGGCTTTAAGATGACAAGAAGGGCTATGAGGAGACTGAGGCTCATAGTAACCTGTGTTAAACCAGTATTATGTTTTCAAGTAAAATCCAAAGATTGATGTGAAATTCAAAATATTTATATGTGAATCCTTGCCTAATTATTCTGGCTCCTGTGTGGTCTTATCAGAACTCATCATCTTTTTAAATCATTTTTTGGCTTTCTAACTACAGCTGTTGGCTTTCTACCTACAGCTGTTTGGCATATAGCAAATAAGCTTTTGGTCCTCCTTTTATTTAGTTTACATTTTAATGACAAATATATTTTAATATATGCTAGAATCGTATCTCCTACTAATGAGAATGGAGAAATTCATCTATACCCTAGGGATTTTGTGTCATGAAAAGGAGTGGCCTAGTAGCTGGTCTGCTAGGTAATTAATTAACTTTGGTAATAATAATTTAGGATTATCTACCCTAAAACACAATCATCATTTTCATCAAATGCCCTCTAACATTGACTTAAATCTCTCATTATACAGAAGGCTAGTTCATTTACTTTCCCAGGGGCATGTTTTTCAACTTTGTAGGATTTGCCAGAAAGTTATATTGTATCATGGGGGCAATATGTAGATTGTTTTCTACTGCCTCAATAGAATAATTGGTGTTGATGCCTTATGAAAAATGTCCAGAATTAAGTATTTTTGTCAAATGTATATTATGCAGAATTAATCACCCATTTGTGTGTATGTCTGTGTGTGTGCAGGTGACAGAGAGAGGAAGAGAGCGAGAGAAGGAGAGAGAAAGAGAGAGAGAGAGAGAGAGAGAGAGAGGGAGAGAGAGAGAGAGAATTCTATGTTGGTTGTCATGGCTTGAATCTGACTTCCAGCAGAAGTGTCCATTGAGACAAAAGACTAGGCCGACTTCAAAATGCTATGGTAGAGTCAGGTGTGGTGGTGCACACCTCTAATCCTTGCATTTGGGAAGTGGAGGTAGGAGGATTGGGAGTTCCAAGCCAGTCAGGGATATACAGTGACACTTTGTCTGAAAAAAAAATATGGTACAATTCCCATTGCTTCTTAATAAGCATGTGTATTTGCCATTGGTCTAGGGTGTGGTGTGTCTGTGTGTACATACCCTTTTCTATCTAAGTGGTTAAAAAATCATAGACAGATGTTAACTTACACAGGAACATATGGATGGGAATTGAGATTCCAATGTTTCTAGCATGGAAAATGCTTCTTGATGATGCTGTGTGTCTATGAATCCTCATCTGTACAAGGGGGCTTGTATGTACCCCCTGCCAGGACTGCTGTCCACTGGGATTCTGGAAAAGGACTCATGGCTAGAACAATTCAGGCCTATAATAAACAGTAACTTCAAAGTATTTCTCCTTGAGGAGAGGCTTCACATAAAAATACCATATAAGCTAGCAATGGCCTTAGAATAAACTATAATTTAATATACAGGTTGCCCAACCCTCAGCAAATGCACTGCTGTGTTCAATCATACTCTTGGCTATTTGCACTAAGGAAATATGTCCAGATCAGTTCTCAAGGACAAATGTTTTAGAATTGTGCCTGGTAATATCCCAAACATTCTATGAAATCCTCTGATGAGCCACTCTTGGGGATAGTCAAGCAAGTGTACCTAATTTGATTTCAGCAAGAGCCCTTCACTCTTGGTATGTGATACAGAAATTCAAAGTAAAGCTTTTGGGTGCTTTCAAAGTATTCTGTTCATCTGTGAATTGAGGTAGGCCATCAGAGCTGTGTACTTCAACTTCATTGCTTGATTCCCCATAGGATTTTTACTGATTTGTACTTTGCCACTGTACCCTTTGAGTGTTGTTCTAGGAGTTCCTTAAGACTCTGCCACACACAACTTGCTGTGATCTGTTTTATTTGAACAAATGATGTGTTCAGTACACTGCTCAAATCATCTGTATTTATGAGGACTCATAGGGTGAATTCCATCAGCGTTTGGAACAGGGCAATGGATTCTCCTAGAAAAAAAAGGTCTGCAATTTAATCCTATGCATTTGAAGACTATGGAATGATAACAGCTGTCTTTTTCTTCTGCTACTAGGAAGCTCATAGTCAGATTTGCCACCTGTCTAGCAATTTTACAGGTCGATGTTTAGGGGCAATAACTTCTACCTTTGGTATTCATACTGTTCAATCCTTTTACCCTCCTATGCCTTCTTTACATATTCTTTTCATAATACATGTATTATGGTTAGGTTTTCTCAGCTCTTCTTAACTGTGATAGAATTTTGATATCTTTAAAAAACTTTACCTGGAGCTGGGGGTGTAGTTCAGTGGTAGAACATTTGACTTGCATGCACATGGCTCCTCCAGAACTACATCAAACAAACAGACAAATAAAATAAACCCAGATAAACAAAATTGTACTTGGATATTTAGCAGGCACATCAGACTTCATATATTCTACAGTAACTTCTTTTTATCTTCCCGTCCAAACCTGTCCCTCTTCCTGTCTCCCTTGTTTGGTACAGGGATCCCATTGGTTGAGTCATCTAACTTTGCAGTTTTCTGTCTTATTAAATCTCCTTTATCTTATATAGCACATCCATTTGTTACCCAAATCTTTTAAAGCTAGCTTCTGCTCTACTTCTCACGTCTCTCCTTATTTTTTAATAAGTTGCTGGATTGTTTCTCCTCCAAACTACTGTCATTTTCTCCAGCATCATCCTCTAGTTATCATTATGCACACTGATCTCAGTTATTTAAAAATAATTTGCTCTTCTATTATTCTTATTCTTACTATTATTTACAGCACCAAGCCCAAATCTCTCATGTGACATTCAAGGCTCTTTATAGTTTGATTCCCTGTCTATCTTCTAAATCTCATCTCCATCTATTCATCTCTCCCGGTTGTGTCTTTCACAGCAACCGCCCACCACCTAATCACCAGTCCCCAAACACAAAGTACATTTCAAGGCTTTGTTGTTTTCTCTGCCAGATGTGTCCTTCCTGACTCTTTTGAGCAAGTGTGGTTCCCTAAGGCCCTTCTCAGCAATTTGTGTGAGGTTTACCTCTTTTTCAACATAAAACTAGTTGCTTCATCCTCAATCTTCACATCCACTTTCTTTTATATTACTGCTAGAAAATTCCTTTCTCTCTTTTGGTTTGGTCTGTCTGCATGAACTTCTTAAAGAATTTGGCTGAGTAGAAGGGAGGGAATATACCAAGTGTTTGCCAATCTTGTTTTCTTTTTTTCGAGGTACTGGGATTTGAACTGAGGGCCTTCACCTTGAGCCACTCCACCAGTCTTATTTTTTTTTGAGATAGGGCTTCAAGAACTATTTGTCTGGGTTGATTTTGAACTGTAATCTTGATCTCTGCCTCCTGAGTAGCTAGGATTATAGGTATGAGCCACCAGCGCCTGGCTTTTGTTTCTTTTAAGAACAGAAGTAAACTTCACCAAGGGACTGCTGAGACTGTAGAATTGGTGATGGCTTCCATGGATAAATGTGGCTAATTAACTGCTGACTTTCAAATGGTGGTATTATATGTACTACCTTTGTGGTAATGGAACATTTGCAATACTATCATAATAAACACTTTTACAGTCAAAACGAGTTTTTCTAGTTTCCAAACAGAAAAAAAAAAAAATTACCTGACTTTCTTTCTTTGTTTTTTTTTTCTTTCTTTTAGGAATAAGCAAGTGAAGAGGCTAAAAAATCTGAAGAATGTTTCCAAAGGATAATCTGGCTGTTACTTGTTGGGTATGGAGGAGCATGAGGAAGCTGTTTTTATTGCTTTCTGTCTTGCTGTCCCTTGTAGCTCATTTGGAAGGCAAAAAGGATAATCAATTTATCTGGAAACCAGGTAGGAATGTCCTGGCTTCTCTTTTGTCATGTTGTCATTAATGAGAATATTCTTTCCATCTTTGTTCTTATTTGTGGAGTAGTGGAAAATACCAGAGAAGAAAAATAGACTGTTTTTCTTTATTATATAGCTTACATTGGATTTTCATTCTTGCCTAATTGTCACTGGAATCTGTGATGCTTGTTATCCTTCAGAATTTTCATGTTGTTGTCAATTAAAGTTATGATTTTCATAGTTATATCTACTTCTCCTTTGTCAAATATTTCATCACTGAGCAGCACATTTGTAGCAAAAATGACATCTGAATTGAACTGATACCCTCAGTTAAAATGCTTTGGATTAGTTCTGTGTATCTCTTTCCTTCAAGGTTCAAACTAGTTAGGTTTTTATTATTAAATACTTTCCAGCATAGATTCTGTACATCTGGTTCGAGAATGTGAAAACTTATCCTAAAAACTTTGCTCATTAATTGTGACTATAAAGTTACCAAAATGTATTTGGAGATCCTTAGCTATCTATCTTTATGCGTATGCATAAGTTTAGCTTGGGTTTGAAGGCTATATAAAACTTACGTTCTTCTCTAAATAGTGCCTTAATTGGCTGTGGAAAACATTTATTAAATTCAAAATTCCAAAGCCTAATAATTTATTAACTTTAATTATGAACCCAAAATATCTTGGCTCTTTGTGTCACTGGTTCTTTCCTTTCTTCTGGATTTTAATTCTTAAAGTTTCACAATCAGAGCACATAAAATACTTATTAATGTTTCAAGAGTCCATTCTTGCAAATACAGATAACTTATATATATATACTTAATATCTTAGAAGGAAAATATGATGTTGTAGAAGATCTATGATCCTCAGAGAGTTTTCATTTTGGTTTCATCATCTGTAAATTAAATAGACTGCCAACATATTGTCACCATGGAAATATGCATAAAAGTGATATTTATAATATTTAAGTGACTTTGCAGAAATGAAAGTGAATTATGCTTTAAAATATATTAAATATAAAAACTAGCACCATTAGAGGTACAGACTGGAGAGAATTTAATTGTGTTAAAGCCCCTACAAATTAATTGAATTGTGGGCTCCAATATCACATTAGTGATTTGCAACTTTTTTTCTTACAGTAGTTTTACTAAGCTTTGGAAATAGTTCTAAAAAGTCAATACTGCATTTCTAAAGATGAGATTATTTTGTTTTAATCACAAAAGACAGGCATTTTGTCAAATCAAAATAAGCATATTTATCTGGCTTTCCTCCTGTCTAAATTTCTGCAACAAATGCAATTAAAATGAAAAGTGGCAAATTTTAAACATTAATGAGATGCATTAAGAAAATGAGCTTATTTTGAAGCACATTTATAAATATATGTTTTTCTAAAATAGGTAATGGGAACAATATGGGGCAGAATCAGCTGTATACTGGTTGAATATTTTGATAAATGCCCATCTTGAGTTTCAGAAGCAAGAATCCTTTCTATCAGACACACTGCATTGTTCGAAATGAACATTGAGGTCATTTTCTGTGGAGTTTATTGCTTCTTCCCCTCTTTACCATGACATTAAAAAGATAATAATATATATTTTCACACTTGGTTTTTGCTTCTAAACCAGATTATTTGTATATGACCATAATTTTAAAAGTAGAAAAATTCAAACAGTACAGAATTAAAAGCAAAAATTCAGATGGCGTGTCTCACTCTCCAATCTCTTTTGTATTCTTCAGAAATTTTCCTTGCATGTGTAAGTATGTATGATACATATTTGTGTATGTAAATAATGGAAAACACACATACATGTAAGTATTGCTATCATTGTTATTTAGGTGTCTGCCAGAAAAGAAATGGCACAGGCAAATTATTATTTACAAAAGTGGGCAAGTATGAGCAGAATTTAAGGACAGCCATAAGAATGTACCCAAGCTACATCAGTGGGGTGTTGTTTCAAGTTCTAGACATTCTGGGTCAAGAAGAAAGAGCAATTCATAGAATCTGAAGGGAAAACTTTCTGGAGAGGATCTCTGACAGATACCATGGCCATTAGGAAGGATGGTAGAGGAATGAATATTCCTCCCTCAGTCTCCCCCTGCCTTCATATCTCCTTCTAGGACTCCCATTGGATGAACCTCCCCTCCAAAAGCCACCACAACACAAAAGAGCCTATTGAAATGTCCACATTGAGCCTCCTGCACAGAGAGCAAAGAGGATGATGGCAGAGAGATGGATATGAAAAGATCCAATTCAAACATATTTTGTTTTGTATAGTAGAATCATGCTCTGCCTACTTTTGCATGTTACGTATTACTGCACATAGGTCAACCTCATCTTTTCATGGCAGCATAGCATATTTTTGTTTAAAAATTCTTTCTACCAGTTTCTTTTTTCTTTTTTCCCATATTGCTTGACTTATCAGAGGTTTCTAGGGTTTTTTTTTTAACTACTATAAGTAATGCTGACATGGATGAAGCATTATTTTAAAGTTAAATGCTAAATTATTTTGAGAAGACACATCCCCTAGAATAATTCTGGGTCATCTCCTTCAAAGACAACTTTGACATGTTAGAGTTTATTTCCTATTTTTAAATGAGTTTATTATATTGCATTTTGATTTTTTAAAAAAAACTGCAGTTGAAATTGTTTTTACAGTATGTTTTTTATTTTATTTATTTATTTTCATTTATTTTATTTTATTTCTTTTATTCATTACAGTATGTTTTTAAATCCAAGGGCACAGGTCCAATATAATCTGGATTTTAAACAGATTTCCATGGTAACTCAGATAAATATACTTTATTTTAGAAACCTAGAAACTTTTCTCTAGGTTTACATTGGGTGTTAACTGCTTAAACTCTTTATTGGTCTCTATCATTTTCTCCCAAAATCAGACGGTTAGATGTCAGTCAGCCTCATCCAAGTTAGTGGTGTTTCTAGGTGAGGCCAGGCTTTGGAAACACAACAGATTGATGAATGATAAGTGAATGATGTGTTATGTTACTACAGGTTTCTGTACTAAGGGAGAGATGGTGAATTGTAGGCTGTGGGGTCATTGATCTGGCAAGGCTACTGAATGCCTGTCATCATTGTGTTGAGATCCTCTGATCAATATTTAGTATCATGCAATCCATCATGCAAGCCATATCAGCAAGAGTATCTCAAAAGGAGTAAGGTTGCTTGGTGTTTTAAATATAAATATATAATTATTCATGTGTGCCTGCTTTATAGGGCTAAGCAGATCATGTCCTTTATAGCAAATAGTACTCTTCTTAAACATTTCTCAGTATTGGTTCTAAGAGGTGTACTCATTCCACTAACACTTCTTGAGTCCTTACAATGTGCCAGACACTGTTACATGGACATGAGATAAATTGTTTGAGAACATAACAGACAGATCCTTAGTCCTCAGGCATAGGGTACTAAGCATGATCAATAGAACATATTCTGGATGGTGAAAAGTGCTAAGAAGGAAAGGTAGGACAAGGAAGAGGGATATACAGTGGTAGAGGAAAGACTGAAAGTTTGAGTATGTTGTCCGTGAGATGCCTCACTGAATGTGAATAAACTCCTGAAGGATATGAAGGAGCTAGCCATGTGGGTACTGAGATACAGGACATTCCAGATGGAGGACACAATAAGGGCCAAGGCTCTAGTATGAGGGGCATGTTTTAAGGACCAGAGAAGCATCCAGCATGCTGGAGCAGTGAGAACAGGGGAAGAGTGACAGGAGATCAGGTCAGAGAGGTAACAGGATGGGGTCAGCCATGTCCTCAGATGTCACAGTTTTTACTATGGATTAAATAGAAAGATATCAAGGATTTGAGAGAACATTGACCTGATTTCTTTCCAATAAGATTTGAATAGGATCATTGATGGTGGTCAGTTGAAAAGGACAAAGCAGGGAGACCAGTTAGGAGGCTACTGCAGATACAAAGAGTGAGGATAGTAGGGTGAACTAAGGTCATGGCAATGAAGGTGACAAGGAAGGGTTGAACTGTGGATGAACTGTAGCCAGTTTTCAGTCAGAGGTGATTTTGGCAATGTCTGCATACATTTACGATTTCATAAGCATACATGATTGTGAATGCTGGTAAATACCTAAAATGAACATGACAGCCCGTCCCTAGAACAAAGCATTTCTAGGCCCCAGGCTGTCAATGATGTCCATATAAACTGAAGCCATCAGGATTTACTGACAGGGGATAGGACAGAAGGGAAAGAAGGACAAGGAGATATGGACTTTACTGTGAGCATCTGAAGAGTGAAATAATTCATTTAAGATAGGCTGTCTATGAGCAACTGCTGTTGAGAGCATGTAGAATAGGAGCTCAGGATTGGCCGTGGTCATGCTTAGAGCATATAAAAATCCCTGTGCCAGCTAGAAAGTTGTATACATAGGATCTGAAGTCAGGAGAGGTTTTTGCTGCAGATATTAATTTGAAAACTGCTAACAAAGAGGTAGAATTTAAATGTAGCCTTAGAACTGAAAAAAAGAAATTGCAATTTGTGATTTTGAATATGTAGAGGATAGCATTTACATTATTTCCTTTTGGGAGCTAAATGACATTAAAAAGTACTGTGGTAAAATGCACATAATGTAAACTTTACCATTTTCGCAGTTTTAGAGGTGTAAAATTCAGTGATATTTAGTACATTTGCAGTGTGGTAGAACCATTACTGCTATCTAATTTCAGAATATTTTCATTAGCCAAAATTACATTTTGCAAGTGAGCTTATAAAAAGACTAGAAAACAAACTTTGCTTTAGATAACAAGTTCTGAAACAAAAAAAGCTCCATAGTTGTTTCTTTGTGAGAGGCCTTTTTAATAGTCTTTAATCATCCTAAGACATTGTTCTAACATAGGAAAAAAAGACATAAAGCTTTGTACATGGGCAGATCCATGTTCAAATTCTGAGTGTCTGAAGGGGAGAAAGTTATTTTATCTCCCTGAGAATATTTGTGCATCTGGAAATTTTGATAATAATCAACATTTCTCAGGGAA